GGAACGCGTGGCAGGGCCCGTTCTCGACGAAGCCCGTCGCGCCCGCGGCCGCGTCGTCGCCGATGCCCTCGCCGCCCTTGACCATGAACGCGAGGCCCGACGCGAGGCGGTCCCGGGGCTCCCGGAGCACGATCGCGTACGTCGCGTTCGGCCCCGCGGCGCCCGCGGGCGCGTGGTGCGCGAGCTTGCGGATGCGCGGCTGGCAGCGCACGGCGCTCGCCAGGCTCCGGCCGCCGGTCTTGCCCGGGTGCAGCACGTGGAGGCTCGCCGCCGGCGCCGCGGCCGGCAGCGCGCACCCGGGGCCGCCCCCGGCCGGGCCCCGCGCCGCGCGGAACGCCGCGAAGGTGCCGTCCGCCGCCGGCGGCGGCGGCGCCGGTACCGGCAACGGCGGCACTGACAACGGCGGCGCCGACAACGGCGCCGGCAACGGCGGCGCCGGCAACGGCGGCGTCCGCAGCGCGGTCCGCGGCGTGAGGTGCGGCCCGTCGTCGCCGTCGCCGCGGAGCGCCGAGAAGGTCACGAGCGACGACGCGCCGAGCAGCGCGAGCGCGACGGCCGCCGCGCGCCCGCGCCTCATGCGCCGCGCGGCCCTCGACGCCGCGACGCGCCGGCATCGGCGCGCGGGCCCATGCGGCCGCCCGCGGGGCTGCCTCTCGGCACCGTGCCGGCTCCCGCCGCTTCACGGACTACCTCAAGTCGCGATTACGCCGCGCTCCGCGCGCCGCTCGAGGTCCGCGGCGCAGGCCGCGCGCCGCGGGAAGCGCCAGCCGAGGGCCGCGGCGTCCGCCGGCGCCATGGCCCAGGGCTTGGCGCCGCCGGGGTAGTGGCGGACGAAGGCGTCGCGCCAGCACGCCGTGTTGTGCGGGTGCTGGCGGTGGATGCCGCGCATGCAGTTCCACCGGGGGTCGAGCCGCGCCCAGTCCTCGCCGACGGCGAGGACGAGCGGCGGGTTGCTGCCGAGGCGGTAGATGGGCGGGTCCGCCGCCGCGTTGGCCGCGACCCAGCGCTCGACGTCGGCCGCGAGCCGCCGGACCCGCCAGCGGTCGAGGTCGAAGACGACGACGCCCGCGTTGAACGCGTGGAGCGCCGCCGCGGGGTCCGCGAAGCGCGCGAGGACGGCCGCGGCGCCGCAGTTCACGAGGTGGTCGCAGACGCGCTTGAAGTCGCGCGGCGCCGCCGCGAGTACGGCCGACGCGTTCGCCAACGCCGCCGCCGCGGCGCCGTCGAGGCCCGCGAGCGACGCCTCGACGACGACGTCCGCGTCGAGGTAGATCGCGCGCCGCGCCTCGGGCAGCAGGTCGCCGACGAAGAACCGCGCCTGCGCGGGACGGCCTCGGACGCGACGCGTCCGCGCGCGCGCGCGCGGCGGGGTCGACGCGACGGCCCGCGCGACGCGCGGCCGCGGCGCCCCGCGCGGGCGGCCCGCTGTGCCGCGCGGCCGCGCGCGTAGTTGAGCGCGTCGCCGAGGCGCGCGGTCCGCGACCGGTCCGCGGCCGCGAGACGACCGGAGAGCGCGAAGGCCCGCGCGTCGACGCGCGCGCCGGAGTCGCCCGCGGCGCACGCGGCCGCGGCGCCGACGGCCGCGGCGTCGCCGGCGCCGTCGACGAGCAGCAGGAAGCGCAGGCGGCCCGCGTCGGCGCCCGTGGCGTTGGTCGCCGAGGCGACGACGGCGAGGAGCCCCGCGTAGTGGTTCCGCGACGCGGCGACGACGACGTGGATCGGACCGCCGGCGCCTCCGGCGCGCGACGCCGCGAGCAGCAGGAGCGCACCGACCGCGCGTCTCGCCGCGGCCATGCGCGAGCGACGAGCAGCGGCAGGGTCTAGTGCGAGGCGGCCATCATGTAATTTGTGTGCGCTGCGTCAACGAGTCGTCATCGACGTCAACATGCCGTCCGTCGAAGGCGTCACAAAGGTCCCTCTAGCGGCCCCCTTGGCGCGCGCCGGCCTAGTTGGACGGCGCCTCGTCGATGGTGAACTTGGACTTGGGCGCGCCGCAGGTCGGGCACTTGTAGTTGTTGCCGAAGAACTTGCCCTCGCGGCCCGCGGCGATGAAGAGCGTGTAGCCGCACTCGTCGCACTCGCAGGTGAGCATCATCTCGTCCTTGCCGCCGTCGGGCGCGAACTTGTCCGTCGTGTCGACGTCGTCGGGCAGCGGGCCGCTCTCCGCCTCGACGGCGGCCTCGAGGTCCTTGCGCCAGTCCTCGCGCGTGTCGACCTCCGGCGGCGCGTTGAGGTCGCCGAGGAGCTCCGCGGCGCGGGCCGGCGCGAGGCCCAGCGCCTCGGCCGCACCGGCGTCCGCCGCGTAGGGCGGCGACGACGCGGACTTCTTGAGCGCGGCGACGTAGGCCTGCTCGCCGAGGCCCGCCTGCGACGCGGCGAGGAAGTCGAGGGAGTTGTCGAGGCCCTCGGCGGCGAGCTTGCGGAGCGCGTCGTTGGCGAGGCCGCAGCGGTCCGCGTAGAAGAGGAGCTTGCCGCGCTCCGACGTCTTCGTCGCCTTCGTCTCGAGGACCTTCTCGAGGGCCGCGGCCGCCTTGGGCCCGGGCCCGAGGTCGTAGACGGCGAGGAGGTCCCGAAAGGCGGTGAGGGACGCCGCGGACGCGGGCTTGTTCGCGATGGCCGCGAGGCCGGACGCGAAGAGCTCGGAGCCCCGCGGCACGTACATGAGCTTCTTTTTGTAGAGCGCCGTCGCCGCGGCGAACTGGGCCCGGGACTGCTTCCGGCCGAGCACGAGGCCCTTGGTCCCGTAGTCGGCGATGAGCTTCTTTTGGTCCGCGCGGACGCCCTCGAAGGCCTTGTACGCGCGGTACGCCGCGAACGCGCCGCCGGCCGCGTAGGGCGCGTTCGCCCACGACAACAGCGGCCGCGGCGCGCTCGCCGGCGCCAGGGACTCGAGGCCCGGCGCCACCACGGCCGACGCCGACCTGAGCGCCGGCGCCGCCGACGCGCCGAGGCGCCGCAGGAGCGCGCCGAAGCCGCGCGGCGGCGCCGGCTCCTCGGCGGCCATGCGCAGCGGCGACGACCGGAGCGGCCGAGGCGCGACCAGCGACGACCGCGGGGCGACGAACGCCGCGGCGGGCAGGCACAGGAGCAGCAGGCCCGTCATCGCTGCACGTCTCATCACCGAACTGGACGCTCGGCACGGCGTCGGAGGACGGCGAGGTTGTGGGCGACCCGAAGCTCGACCTTCAACAGATCGCATACTGAGACATCATGAGGGGAGAAGCAGGGAGAGCCTCTCTTTGGCATTTGCCGGCGCGCGCGCGGCCGGCTGTCCATGGTCACGGGCTACGGATCGCGGCAGACGTGCCTCTGGTGTGCTCGGAAACGTGCTCCGTGACCATGGACACCCTGACCGTCGTCCGGAATCGCTGCGCGAAGTTCGAGCATTTCGGCATGCTCTGCGAGCCGAAGGCAGCCCATTTTGGGCTCTGGGCAGCGTGCTGGCTGGCTCGGAGGCTCGGGGTACATGTCTGATACCCTCGGGCTGCTCAGTTGCTGACTTGGCTCGGACGACGTGCGACACCGCGCGCGCGGGCGTGCGGGCGCGCGCGACGCGGTTTCAGCGCGAACATGTCAGATCGACTTCCTCGGGTCCGCGGGGCCAACCCTTGTGGCAGGGCGCTCTCGGGTCGACAGCGGACGATCCCTGCTGCTGCGCGGGGCTGCCCGGGCCGCTCACGGGCCGGGGGAGGGGCATCGCGTCCGTCAAATCGGTCGCCCGAAGCCGCTTGCGTTCTCAGCGAGTCGCAATCCAAACGCTGCCGCTCCTTCGCGGATGGCAGCCCCGATGTGTGCGCTATGCGCAGTCCCAGCGATCTTGCACGCGGGGGGGCGCGCGCGGTGGTAGGCGCGCTCGACTAAATTTAATGCGTCCATGCCGTCTCGGCGCTTCTCGGCCCGAAATCAGCGGAACCAAATACATAGCGAGCCGAGAGTAAACCAAAGCTCAACGGATCGCCGCCGCAGTGGTTGCTATTCCCCTCCTTACAACATCAATCGCGCCGGCTGTGCGTGGCACCGCGCGCCGGCGCGCCTCCAGCCCGTCGCATGCTCCTGCTCGTGGACCGCGCCTGGCGTTGGGCCGTGGTGGCCAGATATCTGCCGACGGCTGTTCTGGGGAGCAACCCAACGACCTCGGCACACCTGGCCGACTTCAGCCGCGCGGTACCGCGAGGGGAGACCAGAGCCGTGCCAAACTGGAAACCACGGCCATTCGTCGCGAATCCCCTCGCTACTACCAACGCTTCCGCGGTCTGGCATGCTCACGGCAACGTTCAACCAGGAACGGTGCATCAAATTTGCTCACGAGCTATGGATGTGGTCGGCGCCGCGACGCCGGCGCCCGCGGGCGTCGGCGACACGGCCGAGTCCGCGGAGCTCGCGCGGCGCATGGACGCGCTGCGCGCGAGCCCCGCGGCCGTGGCGCTGCGCGAGCTCGACGCGACCGTGCGCCTGTGCCCCGGCGACGCCTACTTTTACGACGAGGCCCTGGGCCAGGTCGTCGTCCAGCGCAAGGCGACCTTCGTCGCCTACGGCCTCGGTCGCGGCGCCGCGGCGCCGCCGCCGCGGGGCGTCCTCGTCGGCGCGACGGCGTGCCGGCTCGCGGTGTCGTCGCTCGACGGGTCGCTCCTCGCGGTGCAGGTGTCCGAGACCCTCGTGCTCGTCGCCGAGGCCGACGGCCCGCGGCGCTGGCGCGTCGAGGTCCGCGGCGGCGCGCCGGGCGTCGGCGCGTTCCTCGAGCGCCTCGCGGGCGGCGGCGGCGGCGGCGGCGACGGCGCGCCGCGCGTCGTGCCCGGCGGCGTGCTCTGGTCCGACCACGGCGGCACGTCGCAGGACCTGATCGTCGTCACGACGCGCGGCGCGGACCTCTACAAGGTGTCGTCGGCCCGGGGCCAGTGCAAGCTCGTCCGGACCCTCGGCCACGCGACGCGGTGCTTCCGCTACGCGCCAGCGCACCGGCTCCTCGTCCTCGCGACGGGGCCCGACGGCTCCGAGCTCCGCTGCTACTTCCTCCGGCGCGACGTCGGCGACCTGCCGCGCTTCGAGCTGCCGCCGCCGGAGCGCGTCCCGCCGCTCGCGCTCGCCGGCTACGGCGCCGGCCGGGGCGGCACAAGAGAGCGACATGCCCAACTTCAAAGGCTCCTCTCTCGGCCGTTTTCCACTCGTTTCGGCTGATTTTTGGACGAGCGATCATCTCTCGGAACGGTCTCGCAGCGTGGATGCTTTTGTCGGGACGCGCGCGCGCGGAACACTCACGTTGAAGCGACGTTGAATCACCCTTGTGCCGCCCAGGCGCCGGCGGCCCCGCGCTCGACCCGCGCGACCTGCTGCTCGCGGCGGCCTACGGCGAGCCCCTCCTGCTCCACCGGCGGCCGGGCGCGCGGGCGCTGGACGTCTTCGCCGTGCGGCGCGACGGCTGCGCGCCCCTGCGGACGCTCGAGCCGGGCTTCCCGGGGCCCTACGGCGTTTCGGCGACGGACGACCTCCTGCTCGTGCACGGCGCCAAGGCGCGCGCGACGGCGGTCTTCGACGTGCGCGGGCCCCGGGGCCCCGCGGCCGTCGACGTCGGCGGCGCGGTCCACGGCCTCCGGCTCCTGCCGCCGGACCTCGCGCGCGACGCGGGGCGG